CTAAATTTAAAAGTGAAGAGAATATTACACAGAAGTCCACGATAGCAAGCCCAGTTCTAAGCCTTCATAAATACCAATAACAGAAACGTATAAAAAGTAGACTTCATGGAAATTACTACAAATGCATTAAAAGAAGACAGAGATGATACATCCTAGAGATGTGACCCACACTACTCGACTACCCTAGTCTTTAGTCTCCATACTTTCCTATCAGAGGTCATGTCCTCGATAAGGGCTAAATCCATCAAATCAGATCTCAATCAGTCTTTAACTTGCAACTTTCCTTAGAAATTCATATTTTATCCTTAAACTCTCGTTAGCTTTAACATTGTTTGATATTGATTTCAAGTACACATTCTCAAATCCAATGGTCCATATTATTTTTCATCATTTTAAAATGTGAAAATAATATTCCTAAACTTAATTTAATATTCTTCAAATTTTCTCAAAATTTAAGTTTGATCCAATTTACCGAATTTTACCGGACTTTAACACTTTACAACTTTTAACATAAATTTGGGATAAAAAATATGATTCCCACCAAAATGTCATTCTTGAGGGTGAACTATTCATTTATGAGGTAAAAAAACTAACTTCTAAAAATTACACTTTTAATCCCTAAACTTTTAAAAGTACATTTTGGTCCTTAAATCTTTCCAAACTTTATACTTTAACCACTAAACTTTCAAATTTTACATTTTGGTCACTAACCAAAATTTTGGGGTGTTACATGTTGTGTCATCAATTAAAATATATGGGGAAATATCACGTTAGCAACATGCATTAACTTAGTCAACTAACTGTTTCCATTTAACAAATGCTATCTTGACAAAAATTGAAACGTTATGGGCTAAAATGCTAAAAAAATGAATAAAGGCCAAAGTGATTAATTGAGGAAACATTAGAGGCCAATTTTGTCATTATGCTAATTATATGTTTAGTCTTCATTAAGTAGACATTTTATTAATTTGGTTCCCAAGATTAAATTTATTGAATTAAACTAAAATTAGGATTAAATTAATAAAATACATAAGTAATGAGGTCAAAAAATGAAATGAATTATACAATTTTACTACACATAAGCAATTTCGTTAACTTTAATGATTTGATTGATATCATTTTATTAGTTCACAGATCTAGTTGATTTTTTAGTTCAATGGTCAAAAATAAAATCAACCTTATAGTTTAGTGATTATTAAAATAGTTTATTCAAAATTCTTTGAGTACCAATTTGTAAGAAATTGACTAACTCGTGTACCAAATGTAATTTAATCAAAATATTATCCCACGTTGCATGGTTACCGTCCATATCCGCGCGTGGCGTGAGCGGCGTTCCCTCTTTACCCTAGAGTCTCTATCCACTTGCTCTCAACTTTTTAATTTATAGCCCCAAAAAAATGGCAGGACGGCGCTCAGTTCTTCGCACTTTTCAAAGCCTCCTTCTCTCTACAAAAAAAAATATCAAAAGAATCTCTTTCTCGCTCTCAACGCAGAGCGATAGGCGCGGAGGTCTCCAACAATCCGTCACACCAACCAATCACGCGCTTTTCTAAGGTAAAATTCTCTCCAAATTTCAAATCAAGCAAACTGTTTAATATCAGATCTGTATTGTTTCTATGCCGCTTTTTTCTTCTTCATTATTAGTATTAGAGATCTGATTGTTTTCTGCTGCTGTTAATCTGTTTGATTCGTATCGGACGCTCATTTGCACTTGAATTCTTCTGATCTGCTGATTTTGTTTTTACTTTTTATTATTTTAATGATGCTGCTTTCCATCACTTTTAGAAGCACTCCGTTTGATATTTGAATTAGATCATTTCATTACCTTCAGATCAGCGGCTGCTTATGTCTTTTCAAACACTATATATATATATATTTGTAATATTGAATTGTGTCTGCTGCAATTTGTTGCTCCATATTCTGAAATACTTTCATACATGCGTATATGTATACGTATACGCGATAAAGATTTTGATATGTTTAGTGCGTTTTAGATTATTGTTTACTCTGTTTCTGATTAAAATTGATGCGACGATAATGTTCTTTTATCATTATTTGATGTCATTTTCTCTCTTCTAGTAATACTCTCTTCTTGTTGATCTGTGTCACTTCTGCAAGATTTCACCTGAGTTTACCAAGATGCACCTTTTTGCTTATTCTTTTTAGGAATCACTATTCTTCTGCCTGATGTTTTTTGAAATTTGTTTTTCTTGGTTATGTTTTTTTCATATTCGTGATCATATATCCAACTTTGTTTCTGATGGTATGAGTCGAACCATTAATATGTTTGTATATGATTTTACCTCAGTTATTGGTATTATGCAATTCTACCTCTTGGTTTTTTTTCTATGTATTTTTATGTGCTCGTGTACTTTCTTGCATCAGAATGGATCAGGTTCAACACCCAACTATCATGCAGAAGGTGGCTGGCCAGCTCCTTCATTCTAGCCATGCTCAAGATTTCCAAGGCTATGGTGGGTCTTTAAGCAGGCCTGTTCCATACCAAAGACGTGTCGTGTATGGGAATTACTCCAATGCTGCACTGCAGTATCCTGCTGTATGGGCTTCTGGAGCTACCAGTGACCCGCCTATGGTTCCATCGACAGCATCTGCTATCTATGTTCAAGCACCTGCAGAGAAAGGATTTACCAGCTTTGCTATTGATTTCCTCATGGGTGGAGTTTCTGCTGCTGTATCTAAAACTGCTGCTGCTCCAATTGAGCGTGTTAAGCTTTTGATTCAGAACCAAGATGAAATGATCAAATCTGGTAGGCTCTCTGAACCTTACAAAGGCATTGGTGATTGTTTCAAGAGAACAATCAAGGATGAAGGGTTTGGTTCTTTGTGGAGAGGAAACACTGCCAATGTTATACGTTATTTCCCCACTCAGGTTACATATTTTAACTTTTGAATTCTTCGTTCAACTATTTTTATCGTACATGTTTTATGCTTATTGTTTTCTTCATTTTGCAACAGGCCTTGAACTTTGCTTTCAAGGATTACTTCAAGAGGCTTTTCAACTTTAAGAAAGACAGAGATGGCTACTGGAAGTGGTTTGCAGGAAACTTGGCATCTGGAGGTGCAGCTGGTGCTTCTTCCCTTCTCTTTGTCTACTCCTTGGATTATGCTCGAACCCGTCTTGCCAATGATGCAAAGGCCGCGAAGAAGGGAGGAGAGAGGCAATTCAACGGCCTTGTTGATGTCTATAGGAAGACCTTGAAATCCGATGGCATTGCTGGTCTTTACCGCGGTTTTAATATCTCATGTGTTGGAATCATCGTTTATCGTGGTCTCTACTTTGGAATGTACGACTCTCTGAAGCCCGTGGTTCTCACCGGCGGTCTGCAGGTCAATATGATGTTTAAATCTAATGTCATTGATCACAGTTCTATCTGCATCATTTGTAATGACATCTTGCTCTCTGTTTTCCTCTGATAATTACAGGACAGTTTCTTTGCTAGCTTCGCCCTCGGTTGGCTCATAACCAATGGTGCCGGCCTTGCATCTTACCCGATCGACACTGTTCGTCGAAGAATGATGATGACATCCGGTGAAGCCGTCAAATACAAGAGCTCTCTCGACGCATTTTCTCAGATCTTGAAAAACGAGGGTGCCAAGTCTCTGTTCAAAGGTGCCGGAGCTAACATCCTTCGTGCTATCGCCGGCGCTGGTGTGCTCGCCGGATATGACAAGCTGCAGCTCATTGTTTTCGGAAAGAAGTACGGATCTGGTGGTGCTTAACTTTGGGTGGTGGTCTATCTCCCTACTTTTGTTGCGTTTTTGTTTAAAGATGGCGATGAAAATCTCGACCTGAGAAATTTATTTCGGCTAAATTTCATTAATAATCCATAATTTTGTTGGGAGCAACTCCCTAAACGATTTTTGTTTTTTCAGATGGGAAATTTTGATTACCCATCTCGGATTTTTGCTTTGCCTTTAAGAATTGAAATAATGGGTTTTTATTTATCACTTACTAGTATTACTATGGTAAAAATCTGCAGGTTTTATCTTTCAATTTTTATAGTATGTCGATGGAGCACGTTTTCTTTTTTCAAGATACCCTTCATCTCGTTCCAAATTACATAAATGACAAAGATAAATTTAACATATATTTTAACGAACCGATTCAAAATTATTTTATCCAGAATAAATACAATTGCATTAATAAATTTAACAAATAAATAGTTATGTCTACCATAAAGTATAAAGGGATACACCAAAGTCCCACATATATAACTATTACCCAATTCTCCCCCAAGCAAAAAGGTTAAGTGTGCAAGAAGGGGCCTTGGTCACCCTTGAACAAAATGTAAAAATTACATTAATAGTCCTTTATAGAAATTGTTAAATTTAATTTGATACTTTTTAACATTAAAATTTCAACTTTACTCTCTCCAACTAAAGGTTCCTGATGCAAATGAAATACCCGTTTGGAAGATGGGTTATAAGCAGTTGAACAAAGCCAGTGGCCTAATATTGATTTTTTTTCTAATGTGGACTCTTCTTCATTACACATCTAGAAGAGAATCACAGGTCCACTCTTGACCGATTTCATTCATCATCCGCCCACATTGATTTGATGCTATTTTCTAATTCCTCTTTTAGTAATAAATAATAAATTATTTTAAAATTAAACGGTAGGTAATAAAAGTAAATTGTAACAAAAGTAAAAATAATTATGTATTTTATATATGGGTCATCATAGATGGAGTTTCAGATTAACTCGATTCGATCTAAGAAATATGTTCTATCCGCTTGAAATCTAATTTTAGAAAAATTCAAAAGTTTACAGATTTAATATAAAATAAGAATCATAATTTAGGAATGCATCTAAAATATTCAAAAATTGAGGGACAAATACAAAAAAGTCATAATTTAGGGACGTAAGGTGAAATCAACTCTTAAAAATAAAAAACTAAAAAAGTCTATAAATTTTTAAATGGTCGTTTGTACGTGTCAATAAACGCAAATGAAACGCCTTTCTTCACCTTCACATTTCACTATCGCACTGAGAGAAAACTCATAATCTGAGCTTCACAGTTTCTTCAGCTTCTCATACTCTGCTCTCTCTCTCTTCTTGGCTTTTATCTTAACTTTTCCTTTTATTTCATCCGTTGTTTTAAATCTCAAAGTGGGTAATTTCAGTCACATTATCAAAAGGTAAATCCATCAATTCATCTGTCAAAAATCACTTCTTCACCAATTTCCCTTTCCCTTCACTTGCCAGACCCCCCCCCCTTTCAAAATGCTTCTGTAATTGTAATCTCTTTGCTTATGTTTATTTTCTCTGTAATATACACATTCAAAGAAAACCTGGGTGTGGCTTCATTTCCCCATTTGTTGGACAAATCAAAGGTTTCTTTTTTTCCCCCTTTTTCTTTTAATATTTTTTTGGTTTTACAGAGAGATGACAAGAGCTGTGATTAATGCTTCTTTTATCCATGCAATTTAACGATTTCAACTTTTGTTTCATATAATTTGATACAGAAGCACTGCCACTTAGTTTAGCTTGCAGTTTGCACTAACATTGTTCGGATGATATTAACATTGTGCTTAATTGCAGCTTTGAGACTTGGGGGTCAGATACAAGAGGTTAAACATGAATGGAAACAGGCAAATGGAGGTTCATTTTATAGATACAGGCTTTCCTTATACTGCTACTGAAAGCTTTATGGATTTTTTTGAAGGTCTAGCACATGTTCCTGTGAATTACTCTCATGCTGGGCTGATGCATGATCAGGTATTTTCAGATTTTTAATCTTTTATTTGATGGGAAAAGAAAGAACAAAAATTCACTTGTTGTTGTAGAATTCAATGATGTTTGATTAGGGTGTTCCGTGTTCATGCTTTTGGCCAATGCTTAGGTGTAGCGTCAGGGATGGACCGATGGGGCTGGCAGGGGTGGTCGCCCCCGAAAATTTCAAGTTATCATATAATTTAGATATTTTCTTTGTATTTGTATTTTCTATTGATAATATGTATTTCCCCCCAACATAGATTCTTGCGTCCATACCTATGTGGGGTTATGATCCCCAAGTATCTCTTACATGGAAAAGCTTTGAAAAATCTAACCATATTCGTGTAGGATATATACTCGTTTCTAACACTTACACCTGCGCCTGAGTAACATGGGTCATCCCCATGCTTCTCATGAATGGTGGTTATACAACCCGTAACAGTTTTTATGAATGATCGATGTTCATTTCTTATGGATTTATGCCCTTAAACAAAGCATGATTAGTTGTGGTCCTTTTCAATAAAAAAATCGGAAGATTTAGTTTATCAGCATATGCTTTATTAATGCAGACGTTCTTACTACTCATTTGATCATAAAATCGTTCGTCTGTTAAGACATCAGCCGGTTGCTTGGTGTTGGATTCATGTTGTGCACGCCTACTCATTTCATGCACAAATGTGACTAAATGGTAACATTCTTCTCTGTTCAGGAAAATATGTACTGGTCAATGAGTATGAATGCGTACAAATTTGGGGTTTCGGATCCGGGGAGTACACTTTACTGTCCAAATAAGGTAAATGATCATTTGAAAAGAATGGATGCCCCGAGGACTTGGGACTACCCATCGACGCAGAATTCTGAACAGCCTGCAATTTTAGATGTGCGGGATGCAGTTGTTGGCATGCATGCTATACCTGAAGAATGTTAGCTTAAAATATGTTTTAATATATATTTTCCTCTTTTACCAACATTTCTATTCCTAAACATTTATTTACTTTTTGCAGGCACTCCAAATCATCAAAGCAATAGTAATTCTCAGGTCCGACCTCTGTTTTCTATAGATGTTATTCGTTTTTTTTTTCTTGCATGTGCTTGTGCATTTTGTTCTCATGTATCTGATTCAGATTCTCAATTGAAAGGAATAGACTATGAGTACCAAATCTTACGGACTACGAAACGAAGTCCAACTATTTCCCTGATCAAAATTTGGTCTCTGTTACAAATTTATCGCCGTAGTACTCAAAACCTTTCCTCTGAAAACAGAAGCCAACGATTATGATCCAGAGTGAGCAGTGGAATGTAAAGCAGTGGCATGGATACTAATGTGTGGGAAATATAACCCATGTTCTTTACCAAATACGCCTGCATTTGTTGACCTCTTTGAGCTGTAGCTCTCGTATAATCCATATTTGAAGAACATTGATTAAATTTTTGTTCTTGATTTTGCATATCATACCGTTTTAAACTCAGTTAGAAACATTAAATCCTAGAATCTATATTATTTACTGATCAAAGGATTATCTGCAATATGTTGTCTCAGGTGGTTTGGCAAGACAATATTGACCCAGATAACATGACCTATGAGGTTTTCCTTTTCAGCTAATCTCGCTTTAATGTTTAAATTACATGCATTTGCACTTCATACAAGACGGATGCATACGTGCTTACCTTTCCCTCAAGTTAAATCACTTGCAATATTAAGTTTTTTGCATTTATTGGTTACAGTATTTTGGATTTGGATTTAACTAAGCCAAAGCTTGTACCGATGCCATTGATTAACTACATGATTTTTATATGACAGGAATTGCTCGATTTAGGTGAGGCAGTTGGAAGTCAAAGTCGGGGTCTGTCCCTGGAGCTTATTGATTTGCTTCCAACCTCAAGATGCAAGTTTAGAAGTTTCTTACTAAGGAAAAAGTCTAGAGAGAGGTAAAACTTTTACTTGTATCTATTTTGTTGAACAATGTCCGCCTTCGTTAAACTATATCTGTTAACTGGCCGTTGTGGCTCTGAACTCGTATAATTTTCTGGTGGCCTTTGTCTCGAGCATCAAAACTAAATTATCATTTTTCTTCAAAAAAAAAATCTTTTTCTTGGTAAGTTTTAACATGCCTGTACATTGCAAATGTTTCGACCAGAAGTTTCGTGGAGTCATTTTAAACAGATTTAAATGATCTCTGTTCTTGTCCTCAACCGGAACTTTTCTGGTACTTGAGGGTTGAGGCTGTGGAACTATGATGCTTGCTGAATAACTGAATTATACCGGTTGCAATATCCAAGACGGACTGTTTTATCTTCCTAGGAGAAATAATTCGTTAGTTGGTAGTCTTTCGTGTGAACATTTCGCTTTGCTTGTGAAACAGCAGATGTGTTATATGCCAGACGAGGTACAAAATCGGTGAGCAACAAATGAAATTGCCATGCAAACACGTTTACCACTCGGAATGCATCATGAAATGGCTTAGCATCAACAAGGTCATTTTAATGTCACATAACATCTACACTACTTGCTTCGATTCGGTATCTTTCCTACTTACACTGCTAATCTGAAAATTGTGTTTTGTTAGGTATGCCCTGTCTGCAACAACGAAGTATTCGGTCAAGAATCAAGGCACTAAAGACATCAAAACCCGACAAGCATTAAGAGAGTAATCATGGGTTGGCATCTCTCCTTCCTGTAAAACTCTGTTTCATTAGCTTTCGATGATAAAATCGATCACTTTCGAAATATATTAGAGTTGCTTGAGAGTTTTCCACTCACATTTTGCCTGAAAATTGTGGCAATTGCTGTCGATATATGAAATTAGTGTATGTAGTAGATTGTTGGCGACACTTTTGGCTTTGATCATGGGAAAGTGAAACCTTACTGATAAATAATTCCTTTTTCTGGGGTCAATATCATCTATCTGTCTATCCATAGTTGAGGTTAGGGTGGTAAAAGTATTATACAGGTCCCTGTATCATAGCACGGATTGCATTTTCGTCCTTATAGTTTTAAAATGTACAAAGATATATGTGCCCTAGAAAAGGGAGCAAAATGGTCAGTTTACACCATAAGTTTGCAAATTTTTTCTTATGCTTGAAATTGGTCAATGTTACTTTTCTTTTCTTTCATTTTTAATCCTCAAGGATATGTCTTATGGTGTAAATAGGAACCTCTACAACTTATTGCAACATACACTTTTGTGGCATCTTTGTTCATCTTAAAATAGAATGGATTAAAATGCAATTTGCACTATAATACAGGGGCTTATACAATACTTTTACCGTGGAGGACCTAATAATAAATTAATTTTCTTTCAATTATGTTTTACAATTGTTGTTAGACAAACGGAAGACAATCAATGAGTAATGACTTAAGTCTCTAACAGAATGGTGCCTTTAAGGAAAAGAAATCTTTTTTTGGGTACTGTAATGTGCTTACACTTTGTAATGTACTTACACTTTGTTTGAGTTACCGGCCATGGGGATGTTCACGGGAACTGGTCTAAGGGACGGTAGTCTAATTTATGGTTAAGAAAAGACAAGGAAAGGGACGCAACCGAAAATGTTATAAAAAGCCTAATATTTTCAGTTAAGCACAATTTAAAATGTTAGTTTTTATTACATTATAGAAGTAAAAGATCAATATATTATAAATCGAATTAGAGCAATTATTGAAAAAAGAAAGGGTAAAGAGACTAATCTAAGGTTTAACAGAGTTGAGGGACTAGAACCATAATTATACCCTTCTGTCCTCTTATCCCTTCTCCTTGTTGGGGCATACATTACATTATGCACTTATGCTTGAACTACACGTGTGGGGTTATGTGAAGTGGAAGCAAACAGGTGAGTCTGTGTCCCGACACATTGGATGATTACCTTGTGAGTGAAGAAAAATGTGCCCAAAAAAAAAAAGACATTATTAATTGAGTCAAACACAATAGACCACCCCATTGGGTGTGGCCATGGCCTACAGGTCCCCATCCAATCCGTTCCAACAAATATGTAATGTATAATATTATAAAATTATGATCTCAAAAAAAAATTATAAAATTATGGATGGATTGTAATTTACAAGTTTATTATCTAAAGATTTTAGGTATTTGTACAACTACAAATATGTACCTAACATTCCTAAGTTCAAGTGACTCTGTTTTGTACTTATAAATATCCAGCAATACATGTCTACTTATCTCGTAAATTTTTTGATCTAACATGTTAAAAATAGAGAAAGAAATGATCCACTTGTTTCTACTCACATTGTTTCTTTTTACATGTGAGATCTAAATTGTTCATGCAATAGGTAGATGGATACGGGTTGGGTTGGATTAGATTTTCACTCGAGTAGACTCAAGAAAAGTATCCCTCTACTCAAATCCATCTTGACTTGAGTTTAGAGAGGCTCCATCCGATCCACTTTTTAGAGTAAAACTCACACTCGAATCGACACATATAATTTATTATTTTTATTTGGTAAAATAAATATCTAATTCAAAAAAATATAGAAAGAGTGGTGGTATTATTATATAAGGGATGATCACACTATCATCTCGGGTCAAATCAGATATTTTTACCCTAAATTTAAATCTAAATCGATCTTAACCTCTAAAAACTTTGAAAAGACCAGATCCAAACCGAGTTTTCGTTAAAAACATCTACTCTATAAGATCGGTCGGGTTGGAACTAGTCATATCTAGATCTAATGCCTATCCCTACAAATTGGGGACTGTTTGATGAAATTAACCCAGCTATATCTATACACATAGAGATTGCGTTATATAATTATATTATTCAAATTCAAAGTTTAAAGCAAACTCCAAAGCATCACTATCATCGTCACCATAACCACACCATGAAGCCTTGTTTCCTTCTAAAACCATCATTCCATTGCTCTCGTATATATCTCAACCAGCACAAATCAACTCGGATCATCAGACCCAGACCTGCAAAAATGAGGAAACCGGAAGGCAAATTCAACAGGGTGAAGCTGAGGAAAGGGTCGTGGTCGCCGGAAGAAGACGAGAAGCTGATCAAGTACATGCTGAGCGACGGCCAAGGGTGTTGGACCGACATTGCTCGGAATGCCTGTCTGCAGCGGTGCGGCAAGAGTTGTCGTCTTCGTTGGATTAATTACCTGAGGCCTGACCTCCGGCGTGGTGCCTTTTGTCCTCAAGAGGAACGCCTCATCCTTCATTTGCGTTCCATCCTCGGCAACAGGTAAACATATTTCTGTATGTCTGCATGTAAATGATCTTGTTTATTGCTCTTAGTGTTGTGATAAGTCACGTCTTAGCCCTAAATAAAAAAAAATACGAGTTTCAATCTTGGAGTGTTAGACAGTTAAGTAGTTTGATGTTAGTTGACAATTAATTAAAATTTTGTTAGATTTGTTAGGCTGTTAATATTAGGTTATAAATAATTAAATATCCATATCATTGTGATGGACTGTGTATACTGTTTAGTAATACTCAATTGGTTTACCTTTACTAAAAGAAACAATTTACTTTCTCAAAACAATTCTACTTAGCTAACCCTAAATAACCATCTTTTGTTTCACCTTAGATTGCTGCCGAGCTCGGCAGCATCCGGTCATTGTGCCGGAGTTGTTTTCTCAACATGGAGAATAATATTGTAGGAAATAACAGTGGCGGATTCATGCATTTCCCCGCATTCGAATTTTCTTCGATTATTCATCTATTTTACGAATTGTATCTATCATGACATTTTTAGTGATGTCCATTCCATACAAAAATTTGTGTTATTAATATACGTGTGCACACCCTAAAAATTATTTATGAATTCGTCACTGAAAAAGAAATAACTAAATCTTTGAATATGAATTGTAAAACCAACATGAAAGATCAAGAAAGAATTCTAGTGGAGGAATAATAACCCCCCTAAGTTTATGCAAAAAAAGGAATAATAAAAAAATTGTTCACGTTTCGTAGGGTAGATAAGATGCAAAAAAATATTTATGGATCCGTCACTGAAAAAGAAATAATAACCTTAAATGGAAGTTAAGTGATAAGAAATTCGATGTCGTTTATGTAAGATCTTGAATCCAAATTTTATCAACAGGAAGAACAAAGGTGATGCAACTTTGTCTCCATTTAGGGTTTCAAACGTGTAATGTAGTGGTTGAAATGTGATCTCTAATGAATATATATATATATATATGATTGTACAGTGTTGTTTTTCATTAATTTTCCAAGATATTTGTTAGTGGTCTCAAATAGCAGCTCGTCTTTCGGGAAGAACAGACAACGAAATAAAGAATTTCTGGAACTTGATACTGAAGAAGAGATTGAAAAACGCCACCACACTACAACAAAACAGGTGGTGGCCACCACCTCCACATCTTCATCGCTAAACAACACTGATTCAACACCAAAGCCAATAAGAGGAGGAACCATTTTCCCTGTACTGCATGCATGAAAACATGTCGACATCGCCACCGCCTCCTTATGCGCCGATGCATCGTCGACGTCGTCGCCACCATCGACATCGTTAACACCTCAATGACCCTTATGACATAAGTGGTGGTGCACAGTTACCGTTCCATGGGGGTATAGGTGAGGGGCATTATGGTAATTATGGTGAGGATCAAAGTGACATGTTTGGGTTAGAGGATAAAATATTCATCATTGGAACGGAGATAGCATAAGAATGGGAGAATGGGATTTAGAGGGTTTGATGGAAAACTTATATTCATTCCCTAATTTCCTTGATTTCCAAGTCCAATAGCTTCCTGCTGCCTTTGTTTTTTTGGGTCAAATGATGGTATAAGTCCCTCCATTATGCAAATTTGGGATTCACTTTCCTATATTTTAATTTAACATACCATGGTCCTCTATTTTTATAATATCATTAGTTAGTTCGGATAGTCGACACCGTTTACTATTTCAACTATAATGTTAATGCGATATTTTTTTCTTAAAAACACCCTTTCTAATTTGTGTTTTAAGAAAAAATCATGTAAGCATTTTAATTGAAATAGTTAGTGGTGTTAATATTTTGACTAACTAATAGTACTATAAAATTATAGGGACCAAATTATGAAAAAAAAAGTATAGTGATTGAATTTCAAATTTGAATATAGTATAAGGATCAAAAACCATAATTTGACCGTCCTAGCTTCCATAATTTTGAATGTCTGGAAATTAGCGGAGACTGGAGATATAAATCGATCTTGTATTTCGGTATATTTGTACTTAGAGACAAAAAAAAATTAAGGGTTTATAGTTTTAAAATTTATGTACAAATTAGGGAATAATTTGAACAATATTTGCATGTAAACAAAATAAACTGTAATAAAAAGGTAATAAAGCATATTAAAAACGTATTTTTTTAATTAATGATCATATGTAAATGTTAGTTCATGTCAATTAAATTTTTTATACTGAGTCCTGGAATTATCATTATCGGAAATTCTAATCAAATATCGAAAGAGGATAACTGTTTAAGCTCAAAATAATAAGGATTTATTGAGTATTTAATAAAAATATATTGGAGGGAATAAAGTTTAATATAACTTAAGTTCAAATTGATAGAGATCTAAATTACCATTGAACCAAAAATTTTGAAAGAAACAAATCCCTTGTCAAAATAGGGTAAATATCACAACTATCTATGAACTTTTATTTAATATGTAATTTAATACACAAATTTTAATTTGATAGAACTATACACATGAGATTCTTATTACGGTTCTGATCATGAATTTTTCACAAATATTGAGTAGTAGTTGCCGTCACGTTCTGTACGGCATCGACGACCGCTCGGCTCGGTTCAACCCCGATGGCTGCTTTTAAGATCTGCTTGCCTACAGGTCTTTGCTGTTGCTGGACTTGTATGTTGTTTTTATTCTTCATTTTCCTTTCAATACAAGTGTTCCATGAAAATTCATAAGACGGTATAATCCTTTAGTATCTTTCAAATGCATGGAATAACGAGAAAATTTTTCCTAAACCCTAAACTCGAATCTGATATTCTGACCTGATCAAATCGAATTATATTTTTTTTAGAATTCAGGTTCAAATCATGCTGTGCTTTTTCAAAAGATGAGATCCAGTCGAATTGGATTTAAGACGAAAAAAGAAAAACTAACCCAACTTGAGATAATATATTATTATTATATTTATTCCTTATATATTTAATTATAATTACAATTATATCTCTTCCTATATTATTTTTTAATAAATTCTTTATTATACATAATAAAACAAATTTTTGCATATATATTTGGATCGGGTCGACTATGGTTTTCACCTCAACACGTGGAACTCAAATCCAATTCGAGCTGGGTGAAGGAGTTTAATTTTCGAATTGGGTTAAGATGAAAAAACTCGACCTGACCCATGACGATCCCTATATGCACCTAGGAGTGACAGCATCAATGGAGACTTACAGGGATACTCGGACTAACCACCATAATAATTTCATACCTCAAAGCTCCAAGGTCTCATCCCCATATACATATATATATATATATATTGGGATGCTGGGTCATGCAAGAACATGATAAAGATACATTTGATGATGCTTTGAACCAAAGCATTGAACCTTAATTCCCAACCGACCAATAAAGGCCCTGGCCCTACAAATCACTGTCAATGCCATTTCATTTATGGGGTGAGTGGTTGCCATCATACAACAAATAGGTACACCATCCCACTTCCCCTAAAGAAGAGACCATCATCATCATCATCATCATCATCATCAATATCTTTAGGAAGTTGGATCCACATTACTTCCTTTTCCATCAAGGACTATACCCTAAATTCAGTTTATTCATGCAATTTCTTCCATGAAACGACAATGCATATGAAATACAAATTTTAACATATGCAGTGATGGACCGAGGGGGTATTGGGGGTGCGGTGGCACCAATCATGAATGAAAAATCACATGAATCAAAATCATCATACATCAAGGAGAAAAGGGCAAAAAGACAACAAAAATTGAAGCGAAGGACATCAACCATGTATTTAGGACATAAAAAATAAAGATATTGAAATAAAAACTTAAACTTGGTTTTTACATCACCATAAGGAAATGCATTATTACTAATATTATCCCATAAAATGCATAACATCTAAATCATATAAAAACAATTACCTTGGCTTTTCTTCACTGATCCAAGGAAAATAAATATGGAAGTAATATGAGACATCAAAATGGTACAAAACCTTAAACAACACGCGCTTGAGTGCTTAGTATTTGCCCCGTCTGAGGCTTCCTAAACCATTTTTGCAGGAAATCTGCTGCAGCTGTAACAAATAAATGGTTAAAAAAAATCGAAATAAAGTTCCCGGAAAATTTCCACCTACTCTTTATGCCAAGCTTAGTTTATCCTTCACGACATCTCGACCTCCTGGTGTTATCTTTTTCTCTCTACACTACACTACAAGCTGATCAAGCTGCATTTGCTCAATCCATGCTCCTATAATAGAATCAATATGGGAATTACAATCATTTGAAACCTCGCCAGATGATGCACCATGTGGGACAGGAACTACCAGCTTTTCTTTCATCACCTCGATTTGGGGTTCCTTTACAAGAGACTGGACCCATGATAAGTCAGGCTCCTCAGTACCTTTACCAAGCTCAAGCGACGACGATCCCCTTAATTGAGCCATTTCGTCTTCACTAACTGACCAGTTCAACTTCCCATTAGGTGAAGCCCACTGGGACCAAGAAGAATTCACAGGGGATCCAACAATAGGAGCAGGATTGTTAGAGCCAAGTTCCCTGGAGCTAAGGCAACCTAGCTGCTGTCGATGCTTCTCGTGCTGAGCATGTGCAGAAAGGCGAGCAGCCATGGGGGAAACTTGCTCAGTACATCTTGGTGACATTCTTCCAGGAGACCCAACACCGAAAGAAGCCTGTAACAGTGGATGCTCGATGTTTTTGTGTGCAAAAACACCGGTATTGATAGGAGAGAGCTTACACTGTTTCTGTTGAAATTGATTAAGGAGAGCTGATTTGTGAGTTGGAGAAAATATAGCAGAAGCAACTTGCTGATCAGCATATCTAGGAGATGATGAGATTTCAGCAGAAAACAGCTCTTCAAGGTTTGAAGGAGTTAATGTTCTAGACTGACCAGAACGACTCAGAGACATTGGACTGTTAAGAGACTGGGAAAAGCTGGGTAAATCATTGAGATTCTGTGCTTGAGCATCGAAATCTAACCACATATCAATGTCCTCAAGAGGGATGTCTCGGGCACTAAGGGAGGATCTCAGGCGACTTGATTGAAAGTTACTTCCAGGGAGATGAAGTGTTGGAACATTTGGTTGAGGCCACGCTAGAGATGAGTGTGAAAGGCCATTTGCAGATGGAGACATGGATTTATTAAATGGTGAAGGGGATATGGCAGATACTGATGAGGGTGAACCAGGTAAAAGGCTCATAACGGCAACCATGTCCATGATACTGGCTGCAGATGCAGCTGCACGCGGAGAGGCAACAGCCGAGCCAGTTGACACATACAGTGGGCGGAGTTCTTCAGCTGTGTGGGCAAAAAAGCATACCCGCCTATTGCAACTTGTGCCATCCTTGCACATCCGAGTGCGGTATTGTGCTGGATGTAGCCAACATTCGAAAACTCCATGGGCATATTCACACATATCCCCACATCTACAAGACCCTTTTCTGAAATCAGGGCAAGGGACACAGCTGTAGTGGTACTTACGAGGGTCCCTTCTCCGTGCATTCTCTCCTGGATGAACAAATGGACACTCTGTCCAGTCATGGGAGTATGCTCTCGAGCAGGGACGGATCTTGAATGAAAACATGCGGAACTCATCAGTTGCATAAATGCTGTTCTTGATATCAGGGAGAGATGGGTCAACAGGGTACTCTTTCCTCTCTGTTGCAGAGTTAACAGGTATATCAATGAACTTTGAAGCCATTGGTGAAGATGCTAGGTTCAAAGCAGAGGGTGATGATCCATTTTCTAGTGATGAAGAAAGGGTCGTTGAGGCAGAAGCAGAGTTATCAATGGATATCCGTAAATTGTGCTTGCCAAAAGGGTCATCAGAAATACATCCTGAAAGAAGTTCTTCCAGAACACCTCTCATGCCTTGGAGCTTTGGATGTACTACAAGAACATCAGCAGGTCGACATCCGAAGGCATCTGAACAATTTGGATCAGCACCAGCCGATAAAAGTAGATTAACAACATTAATTGCATGAAGAGATCCGCCAGAGGCAGCACAGTGAAGGGCAGTACTTTTGTCTGCACCACACGATTGGTTGACAGCCGCAGAGTGAGTCACTATAAGCTTAACAACATCAAAGCTACCATAGGTGGCAGCAACCATTAATGGGGTTCTATGCTTTGCTACTATTTGATTTGAACCCTTTTCACGACAATACCAAAGCCCGACCTCCTCTACCGAAAAAGCATCTTGCTCTATAAACCCTTTAATAAC